TATATATGTGTGTGTATATATATGTGTGTATATATGTGTGTGTGTATGTGTGTGTGTGTGTATATATATATATGTAGTTGTTGTTGTTGTTGTTGTGTACCACAGAGTTGAAACCAATCTACAGCTGAACTTCCGGTGGGTTTTCAGAGGCAGTTAATCACACTGGTGGAGATCTGGAGATTGCCTATCCTTCTCCCGCAGAGCGGCTAATGGTCAGTAACTGTGTGCCTTCAGGACTGTAGTTCAGCTTCTTGCCACTAGGTCACCAGAGCTCCTACATATATATATACAGACACACACACACGTGCATGCACACACACACAAACACACGCACACATATTATATGTTGTTGTTGTTGATTGCCGTCGAGTCGAGCACAACTCACAGAGACCCTATGAACAAAAGGCCTGAAGCCTTTCTATAACTATCATCATTTATCAAAGTTCATAGAGCTTCTATAACTTGTTCTATAACTATTGTTGTTTCTCTAAGTTCATAGTTTCCAGAGGCATGTTGTTTAGGAAGTCGATGCCACTGCTGCTTCCAAATAGTGTTGCTGTTAAGTCAGCGGTGTTATCGTTAAGTCAGAATCAACATATAGCTGAGCCTCCAGTGAGTTTTCAGAGACTGTAAATCACATGCGAGGAGAGTACTCATCTTCATGTTTATATCTGTATTTTGTTGTTGTTGTTGTTGTTAAGTGCCATAGAGTTGAGTACAACTTATAGCGACTCTATGAACAAAAGACCTGAACTTGTTCTATAACTTGTTTCTCTAAGTTCATAGAGTTTCCAGAGGCATGTTGTTTAGGAAGTGGATGCCACTTCTGCTTCCAAGCCTGCCTCAATCTGGGAGCTCCACCAAACACTGTCCACCAGGGGTAACCATTACGACACTGGCCACACCAGTGGCACAGCGTTCAGTATCACATCAACCCCAAGTTACCTCAGTACAGTAAATCGACAGACCAGTGCTGTACCACTCTACTAAACACAATTAAGCCTGTAGCCAGAGTGCCTAACTGACTTTTAAATATCCAGTCCCGTACCCCAGGCCCTTACTGGCTCTCAACAAGAGGCTTCTAGGCCACAGATCATTGTTAGCCAAATCCAGCAAATCCAATCAGTTGACACAGGGTTGTGAATGAAATAAAAACAACCAAATAGTACACACCAGACCTTCAGCCAAAACAAGAAGAACCCACCTTTGAGAATCTAAAGGGCTTCTTCACACATGAGCCTCCAAAACATTTAAACACACACACACAGACTAGTGTTAAAAAGCCATGCTGCAATCTTAAAAGCTTGTGGTTTGCATCCACCAACTACTCCACAGAAGGACGAACAATCTTCTCCTGTGCAATTAACTGCCTTTGAAACTCCACTGGAGAGTCAGCTCTGCGTGGATTCCAAAGTAATGGTACTCAACAACAACAACACATATATACATGTGCACACACACACACGCAGACACACACACACACAATTTAAATTTACACGCATACCTACATTTTAAAGTGAGAAATTGTTATAAAGAAAATGTAGAAAATGTAAGACATTAAAATTAAGGAAAGTTATCTTTATTATGGTATTTGGATGATAGGACTATGGGTGGATTCTAACTATATAACAATTAATAAATACACTGGAGATAATTCCTAACAGAAATTTGTATATACAACTTAACATTCTATACAATCATTGTCATCCTGTAACATTTTACATCATTTGAGGACAGTTTTCGGTACATGAAAACTTGTCTTCCTGCATTGTCCGTTTTGAAAGCTGTCATTAGCACCTCAGTCTGAGATCAGAAAAAATAAGTTAATGATACTAAAAGAGAGACTATTCTGATGTTAAAAAGGAGACTATCTGTTTGCATTTCAATAACCTCCCAAACTCATACACATTTAGATTATAAACACATGGGCTTGAAACCTTTCTCTTCCTAAAGTGCTTTCTCAAGCAGACCAAGGGGTTCTAACTACATGTGAGCTAAAAATCCAAACACAAAAAGTCATTTCAAAATTCCAGAGCAGCACCTTTTAATATTATGAAACTAGGGTAGGAGTTTATTTTCTCCTGAGAGCTAAAACTTCAAAATGAGAACCAGGGAATTGTTCTAAAATAGTTTTAAATGGCTTTTTAAATTATTTTTCATAACATTCCTAATAAAGAACCTATTCTGATAAATAGATTATATTATTTTTAGCCTCACTGCAACTCTGTGAAAACCAAGAAACCAAACCCACTGTCATGCAGTCAATTCTGACTCTCAGCAACCGCTGGGGATGGAGTCAAACTGCCCATATTCTTTGCGAGCTGTGAATCTTTACAGAAGCAGCCGACCACACCATTCCCCCTCAAACAGTGGTGAGTTTGAACTGCTCCGCTCTCAGTTTGCAGCAAGTGCTTACCCATTGTCCCGCCTGGACGCCTGGATGGAAGGGGGATGAAGGGACAGCTCTCTTACCTCACCATGTCTTCCCTTAATTTTCACTTTAGATTCTCTGCACTGAACGGCAAGTTGTAGAGTCTCCTGTGACATACGTATTGGGGTGGTTTTTTTTATTCTTCCCTGACTCTGTAATGACCTTTTTACTTTCTTCACATATGATCTCACACCACAACTTGCCAAGTTTTCAAATTCGTGTTCAGTTTAACAAACCTATTCTTGAGATGGTTTCTAAATTCAAGTAGTATATACTCAAGGTCATGTTTGGCCCTCGTGAGCTTGATCCATTTTGTTCCGCTTCAATTTAAACTGGCTCATGAACAATCATGTCCCAGAGTCAGCCTGGCCCTTGTTTTGACGAGGGCAAAGTGCCTTCCCTACATCTCGT